AACCCAACGCAGTGTAGGAATTTCCCTCTTTCTTCTTTTTTTTTATAGTCTCTGGAATTGTCTACATGTGGAACACAAGAGGGTGTCCTCCTTTTCCCCACGACCCCGATGGCACCCCCCGGCCCCTGACCTTTGACCCCCCCTCCTCGGAGGGTTCAGGGAGACCAGCAGACCCGCACACCCGGGACAAAAGCAGCGGCGTGGAGGAAAACAACACAAATAAGTCACAAATGTTATTGCTCCCCGGGGATGTAAAACAGGCCGTTCAGACACTCCTCCACCCCCCCACCCTCCCCATCACAACGTGACAGTGTTCCCCGCTGGGTACCAGTTCTACCTGCTTGAAGCTTCCACGAACTGAAGATCGCTATCAGTTACATCAGCTTTTACTACAGATGCTATCGGGGACTGTGCCATTTCCTACCACGGCGCAGCACTGCTGAGGAGATGAAGTGATATGCAGTTCAAATTCTGTGCAAAGCTCTGCTGCCGAGGCCTAATTTAAAGCAAACTCCTTCAGACACGAGTCGAGCTCTTACGGCCAGAAGCTCCTCTGTTGAAAATAACTAACAGACTCAGGCAGTTTGTGAAACTCAAAACAAGTCCTGTTGAGTCTGAGAGCAATAACGAGAAAAGAGATTCATACCTGGATGAATTATTCAAGCCTTCTGGTGCAGCAGAGGAGGAGACTGAAAGACAGAGGCCGCCACCTGGTGGTTGCTACGTGTAACTGCACAGGGAGTGGAAACAGCTCACCACCTATTGTTTGTGATGCACAAACAGAGAAAAGGGGGTGCTTCTTTGAATAAGATTGCAATCTGAATAAGCTGTAGAGTCACTAAACTTCCTTTAAAATGTGTTATCAGCAGTATATAAGCATTCAAACACTGAAGTACGCTGATGTATTGTTGTGTGTGTTGCATTTCAGCTCATTTAACTAATATATTTACACAGTGAGTCTATTTATAGGATAGGCCCAAGATCACAAATATGCTGTGAATAATAAATTAACCCAATAACAAAGGTTTCATTTGAAACTTGGACACTAGTGAAGTAGAATTGAAAAAATTAAATCTAACCATTAAATCATGAGGATGTTATGGATAACTTCAGTATATGAGTGCAGGATCGTTCCTCTTTTGTTCAATTTGTTTCATTTCTTTGATTGTTTTCTATTGTTGTACATGTTGTGTCACAAGAGGAATCGAAAATGGTTTTGTTAGAGCATAAGTCATAGACTAATAAGTCTGTGGTGAACTGGAGTCTGCACACTGTTCAGACGGATATGCTGTGAGGCATCTGAAAGCTATTGATTGTCTTCCATTTAAAACACAGAATTGTTATGTGTTTCCATCCTCTTAATGTCTATACAGAGAAAAAAGTAAGCTGATGCCTTGTCTACAAAGTTAAGGAACCTTTGTTGTACTCATTCCAATGTTATCTGACAAAAACGTGTTACATTATGCAATAACAATGATGGCTTTGCTACAGAAAATAACTCTTCCAAAGTAAGGCGTGACCAATAGTTGAGAACCAGCCTGAATAAATTGGCTAAATCTGAACCAGGTCTGTATCGCTACCAAATCAAGGCGGGGGACACAAGCTCCATTGTTACTCTGAATTAGGCTAAATGTGCCCATTCTAAGTATGAGGTGGCCCAAATCCATACTCCCAGAAAGCCGTTTGGTAGCCTTCATATGAAGAAAAGTCATCTGAGAAAAAGTTACATGGATTGACACATCAAGGGATCTGAGTGTTGACACACGTTGGGCCGCCACAGTGTGTCTGTCCTTAACCTTTTCTCCATTAAAAAGGCTTAGATCATTTTTAGTTACTTAGCTTAGGTGGTTTGTGTTCCTGTTGCGGGCACTGACCAGTATGGGGAGCTGCGGCCAGCGGGGTGGCCGGCCGGCCGGAGCCGTGTCCGCACGCCACAACTGGGCCTCAGCTGACCCCCGCTCTCCACCACAGCCGTTATCTAATCTCACACCGACACTTTTGTTCAGGCAGAAGCAACAGTGTGTGTTTTAGAAATGTCAGACGTGGAGAAAAATGTCATGCTCTCATTTCAAAATGAAAATCTCCTCTGGTTTTGTTCCCCTGAGCGACGATGAAGGGGTTTTTCTGCAGCTCACTGTGCGGTAAACTTTTGGCCGCATTGTCATTTCATCACGGGTCTGTAATCGTTTGAGTTAAATGCATCACTTTTCTGTTCACTTTCACGCACATAACAAAGATCTGAATCCATTTAGATCTCAGACAGCATCTGTAGCAGGACATGGATGCAAATTTGATGTGTCACAAGATGGACGATTGGACTTTCTTCTGAGAAAAGCCAACAAAACATAACCCGTACAGTGATGCAAAACTATCCGGACTGCACAGAGTTACACTTTTATATAAGTGAATGAATTCTACTTTCGCCTCTGCGGGATTAAGATGTTTCAGGTTATTGTATGTCATGAGACCAGATTAGTCTTTTGGACCCCGGCCAAGCTGACCAGGTTTGATTTGTTGCGCTGCAGCTGTGGTCAGCGTTCTGTTGCCCACGGTTTCAGCAGAGCCCCTTCAGAACCGACACCCGGCCTCAGAGGCTCACAGGTAATTCTGCCGCTGCTGCAGAAAACAAAACCACATGAACCTGATGAGGAGCACGTCTGGACTTCCCCTCCTCTTAGAATGTTTAAGCTAGTCAGAACCAAGTTCTGTTTTACGTTTACAACCCCCACAAACACACACACACCATCAACACTTTCATTTTCCTCCTACGGTTAGCTCTAAAAAGGCTCTATCACAGTTCAAGTATATGGAGGTATGTCTCTAAATTGATGAAGATATCTAGAATAACATTAAAACCAGAAGCTGGAAATCAAGTTAAAGTGTGGGGAGAATTGGTAGGTTTTCTTGGGATGACAGTTTTTGTTTATAACCTCATTTGGAAATGAGAGGGATAGGGCGGCCATTTTAGAGAAGAGGCGGCAGACAAACAAAATGATATAGTAAATCATCTAGTTTTGAAATGGAACAGCCTTCCTTTAAACTCTCATGACTATTTATTCATGCTCCAATCTTATTTAACTTTGCTCTCAGACTACAGACCGTGCAGTGATTCCCAGAGTTTCTGGAAATAGAATGAAGGAAGAAACTATCATTCTCAGGGCCATCTCTACTGGAAACAGCTGCCAGAGTGATTTAAGAATATGGAAACGCTCTGAGATTAATGTTCTGTTTTGGTAAAGTTTAGGGTTGAGGGTGGTTACAGTGACCCAAATCCATCCCTGAATCGTGATTCTATCGATCTGAAATGGTGCTGCATCGCTCCTCTCTGTGCTTTTGTTATTCTGCTTCTTTATTTTCTCCATTTGCAAACACTGTATTTCTCTATTTGACTTCTCTGAGTTCCCTTTTCCCTCCTGCCAATGATTATTTAATTCTGACCTTTAATTTCCCCCAAATCACTATGGCTTAGTGGAACAAGCCGATCTGACCCACAACCTGTGCCAACCACTCCCTGATGACCTCGATGTCCCTCCATTGTTGCGCTTATTATTTGATCCAGTAGCGACAGTAACAGCATTATCTGCTCTAGTTCAAGTGGTTCAAAGTATTCTAGTTTATCTGTTAAGTCTGTTTATATGTGAATGTGCGGTGCAGTTGATCTTGAAATGAGCCTGAGAACTCATTCTCTCACAATTTCAGAAAAAAATATTTCATATATCTAACTTGGTTGCAAAGATCTTCCACATAATTATCAGTCACCAGAGCCTGAATATCACTGGTCAGCGGCTTTATTGAAAGATTTACGCTCCAAAGGTTTTCTAGTTGTCTTTTTTTTATTTCCCAGCAGGTTTGATGTCTCCTCTTAGTTAGATGTGCCAAAACAAATCAAACTTCAGTGGGAGGCAAACAGAAGACACCCTACCAGCTGCCTCCACCAACTAATCTAACTCCTTTTTGGCAGAACAGTGGCTCCCGGATGCAGTTGCTCCTCACCTTTGTTTCTTTGTGTCTTTCCATTACCGTATGACCAAAGGGGAGAGCTCGAACTGTCTGTAGCTGCATGAATACGCTGAAGGCTCCACAGTTTAGCTCAGCTACCTCTTCATCACAACAGATCACGCGTCCTCGGGCTCCGGTGCAGGGCTCAGGATGTCCGGAGACAGACGTGCTGGAGAAACCTCACATCCCCCTGATTCAGAGGTACAGCGTCCAAATTATTTGAATAATTGAAAGTGGATTGACAGGAACAAATCATTACTGCTGGCAAAGCTCCAATCCAAGACCTGTCATTATCTGAGTTTTATCTGTGTTTATTCTTAAGAAATAAACGTAATAATTCTCATTTAATTTGACTTCACTTGAACAGTTCTAAAGAATCACAACTGACAAGATCTGATTACATGAATTAATATAAAATCACTAATCCATCTTCTTCATTGCATTAGAATGACAAGTTCTTCCACTATCATTCAGCCTATAATACCCAATACAAGTCAAACAAAGGTAATCAAATTCATAGCTTGTCATACAATCTTTCAACATGAAATGACCCCCTCATCAAATGCTAGTGTGTGTATGTGTGTGTGGGGGGGGGGGGGGTCTCTCCAGCTGATGAAGACTGGAATCTTTCTCAGTACAGAAAAACATGGGAAAAAACAACTTATACTATGGAAAAAAACTCATTAAACACTGCTTTCTACATGCGTAATGCTTTCCTATATTTTATATTGAAATCATTTCAATACACATATCTTCTTTCAGACTTGAATTTTCAAGGTGGTTTCAAAATTATTGTTGGGAAGAGCAAAAATAAGAACAAGAACTCAGCAGAGCAGTTTAATGTGTGTTTTTTTGCCTTCCACTGCTGCACAAAAGCTGCTGTCTGTCACAGTTTTAGCACCTGTTACCACCGTTCAGCCCCTCAAACCCAGTCCGACCCTTCCCTGGTGCTTTTATTTCATATCCGTGACGCGCTCAGCGTCTACGCCGTGGAACATACGATAGTCACGTGAGGCCGGAGTGTGACGTGGACCGGTTGGAGAATGAATGAGTTGGCCGGGGAGAGCACGACACACTGAGTCAAACGCACCCAGGGCACGGAGCAGTCGGGTGGGATGCTGTGAACCGGCTTCTTTGTCTCTTTGGTGAATTTCGGGGTTTTCAGCTTCGCGTAAAAATTCAATCGGTTTTCGTCTGGAAGTGCACAATGGCACGAGGAGAGGGCGCGGAGCAGTACGCGGCGAGTCTGCTGACAATCAAACCCGTAAGCACGGATATCAAGACCGTAAAGGTGAGAGCATTTCCTTCCCGCACGTTTGACTTCTTTATTGGCAGTTTTATGGTGCGTAAAAGGGCGCTTCAGTCCAAAGTGTCTCACTTACTTCCCTTCTGCCCCCACATGCGACCTCATGTCTTCACCTGTCCTCTGGGTCGGATTTAGCCCTGCCTGTTCGCCTGTGGTGGGCTCCGTTTGCCACTTCGCTTTCACAGGGGACACTTTTCTGGACATTTTCTGTCCAAACTCTTCGGTTTTGTCCAGAGTCGTGACGTGGGGGGGGATCTGATCCAGATCTGCTGCAGCCCTGGGATGGATATCTGAGAATCACCTATGGTTAAAAAAACTCACAATGTCCAAAAACAATTTATTGAGCTTTATTTAGGCTCTGTTTCCTTCTGTATTTGGAGTCAGTAACATCTCATCCACGGCTTTTCTGCTCCGTGGGTTCTTTTTGCTTCACATATCAGATCACATCTTTATGCCCCTGTTGGGATTCAGATAAGATAAGAGCAGCCAATGCTTATATTTCCTCTTTTATTTAGTGGCTGATTAATTTAAGCTGTAAATGGCAGATATTTAACAAGGCCAGGTTGTATGCAGTACAGGTTTATTGGTGTTCTGTGATTATGATTATTGTTTAATTTCTTTCTAGTGTACAAATGAAAATGATAGTTGAAATGCCCCTCCCTTTAAGTCAGTAAAGCAGATTCTCTGAAAACAGGACACGCACCTGCCAAAAAAAGACACTCGGATTGTATAAATGGCATATATTTAGTTATTCTTCCAGTTCTGTTGGATCTTTTGCCGGAGGGGATCGTCCTGCTTGCTCTAATTTGTGTCAGAGTAGCAACGTGCCTTCAGAGAGGAGAGTCTTTTTTTGTATCTGGTGGTTGTGGATCCCCGTAACCTGCATCATCAAGCTCTCCGAGGTGATTGGCTGAGCCCGGTGAGGCTTAGGTACGTCTGCTGACTGCAGAGCGAGATAGACTCACTACCTCCAACATCCTATCGCAGGAGCCAATGGCTGAGCCCGGCCTGTGGAGCAGCGATGTGGTGTGAATGAACGAGAGTAACCTCTCCGTTTCTCGTGATATTCTCACTGGCTGTAACGCATGGGTAGAGGATGTTTAAAGCCCTAACTTGGATTTGAATAAAGTCAATTCATATCTCCTCAGGCTCAGAGTCACAAGCACAAACGGTTCCATATCCAAATTAATGCCACTGCATTTCTCTGTTCTTTTTTTTTTTCCAGGCAAGGACTCAGAGAAATCGTCTGTCTGTGTGGAATAAACTGTGCTATGCCTTCGGAGGAGCTCCCTACCAGATCACAGGCAGCGCTCTGGGCTTCTTCCTCCAGATCTACCTGCTGGATGTCGCACAGGTGATTGACAAGAGATGCACAAAGAGAGGAAATCCCAATTAAATGCAATAAAAATCACTCAGACTCTGATTGGTGGTATGATTAACCTGGAGTAGAAAACTTTTCGAAAGGTGTAGTCCGTTTATTTGCTGTCTAGAGGCAAAACCCATGTAGGTCCCCTTCCCGGTGTTTGCTCTTCCCCCCCCCCCCCATTTCGTTTTAACACCCTGGGCCCCTGCTGTGGCCGGTCAGGCGCGCTAGCCCAGACTCCCGCTGTTTGCTTTGTTGCCAAATTAGTCCTTTCCACTGGCCTCAGTGGGAACTTCGAGGAGAGAGGTTGTCAGAGAGGCTGGGTGTGAATCATCGTGTGTTTCACTGCTGCTTAACTCTGAGCTGTACCTGCATCCATAACCTGCTGGGGAACTAGACTTCCCAGCAGATGTGAATGGATATTTTTGTCTTTTTGTTTTAGTTTAAAGACTCACACTCTTACCCCCTCCCTCCCTCCCTCCCTCTCTTCCTCTCCGTTTCTCCCTCCAGCTGGATCCTTTCTATGCCTCCATCATCCTGTTTGTGGGCAGGGCTTGGGACGCGGTCACTGACCCGACCGTGGGGTTCCTGGTGAGCCGGAGCCGGTGGACCGGCGTGGGCCGGATGATGCCCTGGTAGGTGTCTGGGTCGGGTTCACGGAGGAGAGTCCAGTCACGATAGCCGATTAAGAGCTGACGGAGTAATGAGCTGCTGAGTGGGGAGAGGAATGTGAGGCAACCCCAAGAGCTGTTAGCTGTAACCATGGCAACACGGCTGGAGAGGCTGCTGAGGGCTGGTAGATGGTCGTAGACGGAAACCCGACTGTTTAAACATGTAAAAAATAACATTAAGAGAAAACTCAAAATGATAAATGGATTAGTTTATGAAGAGCTGTTGAGTTTCTAACATCTGGATTAGCTCCTCTGTCAAAGCAGCTGCAGAACCCAAATCTTCATTGTTAAGGGTGCGCTCTCTGGGGCTTTACACGTGTTCACGCGTGTGTGCTGCTGAAACGTGTTGTTTTTTGGACTGTACAGCTGCCAGCTCACCAGCCGGATCTATTCCTGCCTTTTGATAGAGGGGCGTTTTACTGGATTCGTGCTTTAGGCTCACAGGAAGCGCAGCACAGATGTGCCGGCTTCGGAATTCAAATGCTCGCCTTTGTACGGGATCGAATTACCGAGATCAGGAAGGAAATCCAGTTGGAAAGAAAGATGACCTTGGCATTGTGCTTGCAGAGTGAAGCGTGGTGCACCGCCGTAGGACTGGTTTTCTTTCAAACGACTCAATTGAGGCCACGGTCTATTTTTCGGTGGAGCAGAACTGATATTTTAACTGCTGCCTTTTCTCTCATGATTACTCTGACATTTTTTTTTTTGTGTGATAGCTGAAGGAGGAAAAAAAAAGTGCCGGCTGTTTGAGAGCTAAAAGTGGGAAGGGGAGGGAGGGGTGGGGGGGGGGGGGGTTGCCGGCTTGTGCAGCGATTGGTCCAACCCACAACACACCACCAGATTCAAACCAATGGGTGGGCCAACAACGCGAGCGGCGTGCGTTTGTGGTTCCCTAAACGTTACGCGGTGGCAGAAGCCATGCTCTGCAGAAACAGTGGAGGTCACATTTTCTAAACTGGCAACATGTAAATGAAACAAGCACCCCAGCGAATGAGACTCTTTGTTCTCTTGTAATCGTTCTGTCTCCGCCGGAGACGTTTCTCACACAGTGATGTAGGATGTGAAACAGTGTCTCTAAGCGGATCCCTTTATCTGGCGTATGAACGCAAAATATAATGTAACGTAAATGACATGGGCAGTAAATGCTATCACAATGTCTTTATTTGCTGTAACGTGATGGTACAACTAGAGATGCTTGATATTTGATATTAATTTTTCTTTTTAAACATTTTTGGGCGGAGGCAGGAGGCTTCATATGGCTGAGTGCACAAGTGTCGCATCGCATAAAGAAGCCTCCCTCTGTGTGTTAAATGATACAGCCCTCAGGGAAACACAGACTTGATTTCTTGTGTGTGACAGAGTAAAGATGGTTGATGCTAAGTGTTGATTTAGATGCTATTTTTAATGACACGGCCTTAAAAAAAAAACGTACAGCTATGATCAATACTGTTTTAATCTTGCAGCTATTTAAAAAAAAAATAATAATTTTTGGGCTCGTGAGAAAGACATACAATAAAGATAGTTAGATATCAGGATAGGGATAAAAAAGGAGACTTCCCTTTCACTTTTTGTGAAAGTGAAAGGGAAGCCCTAAGTGAGATGCAGTAGAGGGGAAGCTGTCATTTGGTTTAACCTTTTCTCTCCCGGAGGTTCGGCTGTTTGTGTAAAATGAATAAATAAAGCCGTTGGAGTGGCGGCAGCTGGTTGACTGAGGTGTGGCCCTGATGTTCGATCTGAGCCGGGCTCAGAGAGCTGACACTGAGACTGCTGACTCTTGGTGGGGTGACCATGAGGCGGGCCACTGGGTCTGCCCACTCCGGGCTCCAGCCCCGGCTGACCCCTTTCTCCACACACGGGCTCTAATAAGGCAGGATTAAGGGGATTACTCACAAAGCAGCAGGAAGACAGCAGAAAAGAAGTGACTGCAGGGCAGGGATGTAAAACAAAAAAAAAAGGAGGGGTCATTGTACAGTAACGGCAGGCCGATTAAAGCCGTGCTTAGGTTGGGCAAACAGCGAGCGCCTTGTGTTTAACACTTAAATACACCGAATGAAAGTTGATTTGTATGTTTTCGTGCCCTCATTCTTTTCTTTCTTACTTTATTTTATTTTCACAACAATAACAAAAACAGTATTAAGTTTCACTAAAAAAAGAAAATGTGCTGGACAACTGCCGAAAAACCCTCAAGGGGCTTAATGAGTGGCAGTCTCCATAAAAACAAATATATTTTTCAATTTCAAGTATCTACATGATATTGTATTAAAAAAACAACAAAAAAACATTTCTTTGTATGAAACAATTTGAGATATAATTTAGACCACAATACGGGAGAGCCCCACACTGATCAGCTTTAGAGCTCAACTTAAATTTTGGATGAAAGCAAACCAGTCATGTGACCACTAAAATCTAAACATTGACTTGTGATGCTTATATTGTTTATTATATGTTATTTTTTATGCCTTTGCCTGCCAAGGGAACTACGGATGTAAATTAGCTTTGTAGCTATAATCCGGCATATTTACATTTGTTTTTGACTGATGTTCATTAATGTGCTTTGTCCCTATTCAAATAAATAAATCCATATGGAAAATTAAGACAAATTCTCCCCTCTCTGCCCCCCCCCCCGGATCCTCTGCTCCACTCCGTTTGCGGTGCTGACGTACTTCATGATCTGGTACGTGCCGCCTTTCGAGGAGGGGAAAGTCATCTGGTATTTGGTGTTTTACTGCCTCTTCCAGTCCATGCAAACGGTGAGCGCTGTTAACGCCTTTTTATCATCCAACACACACACACACACTCACACACACGCCGCTCTAACTGGGATCTGCCTCTCTCCCTGCAGTGCTTCCACGTGCCCTATTCTGCCCTCACCATGTTCATCAGCACGGACCAGAAGGAGCGGGACTCTGCCACCGCCTACCGTACGTCCGGCCTCCGGCTCCTGTAGGACCCCCCTCTGCTCACGGGACGACCGTTTATGCCTGTCTTTTTTCTTTTTTTTGGGGCTCCCAGGTATGATGATCGAGGTTTTGGGCACAGTGGTGGGCACTGCCATCCAAGGACAGATAGTCGGTGGAGTGTCCAGCTGTCCGGCTGAGTCTGAAGACGCCAACGGCACAAACTCGTCCACGATCAACATTACTCGAGTATCACTGGATGAGACGGTAAGTCCCTGCACTGAATGGTGGCGTTTGGATGTTTCACAATAAATTAACAACCCCAAACGTGCATCTGAGCTGGTTTTGAAAAGGATAAATGAGGTGAGCTGCTGGGATGGACCAATGGACTCTGTTCAGAGAAAGTTGGATGTAGCTTCTGGATATGAAAAATGAAACACTAAAAATTGGTGGAATTGGCTCATTGGGCTTTAAATATGATCCTTTCTTAAATCTTTCCCTGCAAAAAGTATAAAATACTTAAATATTGCACCTAAATCATTTTTTTTTCTTAAATATTCTTGTTATCCTATTTCATTTAATTCGTCAAGCTTTTCCATGTAGAAAGAAGAGCCATTCAAAGCTAATTCTAACCCTCTTTGTCAGTGGTGAGTGTATCCAAACGTTGTTTCATTCTCTTTCCCAGAAACGGGCCTACATGGTTGCTTCGGCGGTCATCTGCCTCATCTACGTCGTGTGTGCTGCCATCTTGTTTTTTGGCGTGAAGGAGCGAAAAGGTACGAAACGTCATGAAACCAAGGGAGGTGTGAGCCGGTCCAGTGTGGAGCTTTTGTATTCACTTCAGACCTAATTCTGGTTTATGTGTTTGTCTGATAAAATGACTGTCAAAATAGAAAAAAAATTGGGGTCCACATTCATATATATGAATATAAATAAATAAATGAGCATGGAGAGATATAGAGAAATGCCCCACAATCTCAGAATTGCTCCAGTATGCACCACATTCCTTCCAGCATATTGTCAGATACCACATCTATGTGTTCCTCTCCTCTTCCTCGGACTGTAGACACTGGGAGGAAGAAGTCTGAGCCCCTCACCTTCCGTCAGGGACTGTGGGTGATTGTTAATCACGGGCCGTACGTCAAACTGGTCATCGGCTTCCTCTTCACATCTCTGGCCTTCATGGTAACTATAATCCGCTCGAGAGGAACAATGTGACATAGTGGCACATCCCTTCTCATTAGTGTCTGAGTGAACCGGCTCTGAATGGGTACCGGCTTTGAAAGCAAAAAAAAAAGCAAAAAAGTCGGGCTAAAGTTGTGTCTTGTTTCTCTGTTTTCCTGCAGCTGTTGGAGGGGAACTTCGCCCTCTTCATCACCTACGCTCTCGGCCACAGGAAAGATTTCCAGAACATTCTGCTGGTGATCATGGTGAGTGTTTTTAGGTCCCCTCCTAGGAGATCCTTCACCGTCCCATACCAGCCCTCATCAGGGTGGGATTCAGAGGAGCAGCTGCCCCTTTCTCAGCTCCTCCTTTTTGAGCTTTTTCCTAAACACGCCTGGTTCTGAAGCTGAACAGGGGCAGATGCTCAGGGTGGGAGGGGTTTGTTTGAAATCCTGGGAACTCGACTCCCAGACTCACGTTCGGCCTCAGCAGAAGATCAAGTGAGCGATGGGCGTACGTGGAGCAGTGGTTGCCTCGGCAACCCTTTACCGGTGCCACCAAAACGACTTGGGACACTAGTTCCTGTGTGACCGTTCCACAGAGGCCACAGTCTGTCCAGATCGTCACTGGGGCCTTGAGAGGAAGTTAGACAGTTTGATTGATAGTTGAATAAACTCCCCTCATCAATTTCATCCCACTGGTCATTTTGATGTGTGGAAACTAAAGTTCTCTCACATTTGTTAGGCTGGTTGAAACAATTGCAAGTTACCAGGCACGTTTAGGATTCTTTCTCTGTTGTTTTCCAGTGTGGGATTGGTAACCCTCTGCTGTTGACAGTAATGACAAAGCCGTACAGCTTATCTGCTTTCTAAGTTCTACTGTGTAACAAATAGGGGAGGACGTGAGCTCAGTGTTCTGATTGGGACTTTTTCACTACAAATGATGCCAGTAGTCTTTTTTTCTTTCTTTCTTTCTTGGCGACACTGTGAGCAGCACCAGGCAGAAGTGTCTGAGCGCACACTGACACCAGATTCTCTCTGATTCCGGCTGTAACTGGAGCAGGGCGTCGCCGGGCTTGTAACACATGTCTGGTTTCAGTGTGTCGGGCTAATTGTGCGTTGGCTTAACTAAATGGGATGTTTTAACACAAGCTTAAAGGTTGATATTTTACCCTTTTGAAAGAAATGATATAATTGCCCCTGAAAATGAATTTGGAGCATCTGTTTGCTTTCAGTTAGCACAGTACTTTGATCTTTGATAGTTATGCAGTGTTGATAATTCTTTTCTCTTTTTTTTTTTTCAATCCTTCCAGCTTTCTGGAAGTCTAACCATCCCATTATGGCAGTGGTTTCTGACCCGGTTTGGGAAGAAGAAAGCAGCTTACTTTGGAATCTCGGTATGATTTGTTTCTGTCTGTTCATCCGGGCTTTGCTCGCCATGTTTTGTTTTTTTGGTTGTTTTTTTTTTTTTCAGGTCTAATCACTTTATCATGCCACTGTGGGAGAAGTTGGCGATGATGTTTCTCAGTCCTTTGTCTCTTTCCCTGCAGTGGGCCGTCCCCTTCATGATCCTGATAGTTTCCGTTAAGAGCAACCTGATCATTTCCTACCTGGTGTCGGTGGCTGCGGGTGTGAGTGTGGCGGCGGCGTTCCTCCTGCCCTGGTGAGCACAGCTCTATTCTCAGCCCAGGACTTCTGCCTGACTGGGTCTGGAGTCTCCATTAAAGTGCAGGTTCTGTGCTCGTCAGGTCGATGCTGCCCGACGTAGTGGATGACTTCAAAGTTAAGAATCCAGACATCCATGGTCACGAGGCTCTTTTCTACTCCTTCTATGTGTTCTTCATCAAGTTTGCCTCTGGCTTGTCTTTGGGTATCTCCACCCTCAGCTTGAAGTAAGTGTGCTGTCGCAGAAATACTAAAGAAAATACCCCATTTCTTCTGCATCCTTTGAGTCTAATTTTTACGCAACAGTCTGTTGGGCTTTATTATTAACTTTCAAGGTTTTTCTTGGGAAATCTCCCTCATTTTCAGTCCAGTCCTTGAACCCTGTAACCCTTTGTAGAGGAATGCATTTGCTTCCCAGTTGAAGCCGGCAAACACAAGGCTTATAACTCTAAGGAGTGTTCAACAAATAATTTTGCAATTTATCCTTCAATACCTTTTTACTTTAAGCCTGGAATGCGAAATCTGTGCCAATTTATATTATTACATTTGCAAAAATGCATAGGATAATACAGTTTGATAGAAATTAAATGGTATTAAAAGATTTCCACTGAGATTTTAGCTGAAAACTTAACATGCGTCCACCTCAGCAACAGCATGTATGTAAAAAAAAAAAAAAAAGAAAGAAAAAAAGTCACATCAAACTGATCCATTCAGTGTACACCTCATTTATTCAATAAAACAAAAACATCACATCACATATCCATCTTCCCAGAGAAATAGGGTCTTTATGTTCATATTTCCATTCCTAAAGCTGAAAACTGGATTACCTGTTGGTCCTATAATCATGTGGCCAACAATCAGATAATCTCTGAACTGCACAGAAACTGTACTTACACCGGCTAAACCCCCCCCCCCCCCCCCCCCTCTCTTCCTGCATTTTTTCACAGATTTGCTGGCTACGTGACGGGTGAGTGCTCGCAGCCCGACTCGGTCAGCTTAACCTTAAAAGTGCTGGTCTCTCCGGTGCCGGTGGTCCTCATCGCCGTGGGGCTGCTGATACTGAGGACCTACCCCATAGACGAGGAGCGGAGACAAGGCAACCGCAAACTTCTGCAGGAAATGTTGTAAGTGGGAAATTTGAAAAGCCTGGAAAACCCTGTACAGCAGCGTTTGCATTGTGCCTCCATTATTTTCAGTTGTTTTTTTTTAGTCAATAGCTTTTCAATGCTCTTCCACCAGGGATTCTGAATCGGAAACGTCGGATCTTGGGAGCAGCGTGTAGTCACGCCGCGTCCCGCTGAGACCACACCACCTGTCACCACTAACAGAAGACCTCAGAGCAATACTCACGATGGACTCATGACTTATGATTGTGGGCACTAACCAACCAGCTCCGGTGGATCACAGGTTTGCACCGTCCTCTAGTGGCGGGCCAGTGTGTGTGAAGCCTTCTGTCTGCCGCTTACGTGTCCTGGTTCCTTTATTTTCCCTCGAACGGGAGAAAAAAACCTACACGATGTGTTATTTCTGCCAGTGTAAAGCCAAAGTCCCAGGATAGCTTTTCCTCTGTTTATTTATTATTTGTCTTTATTTGTCTTTTTTTTCTTTTTTTTTTTCCTTTTAGATTTTTCTCAACATGTCTTTTGTGTCATTGTCGAGTTGAGATGGAGCGCAGATGTCTGTCCATGTGTAAACCTCACAAGTGCGTCCAAAGATGTTTGTAACCAGATGTTCCTGGAGCTTTCTGTTTTTTGTCTGAGGTCTTTTTGGACCTCAGGACTTAGGGCCACGCTCCCGTGTGGCTGCTTTACATCCTCCCTCACGAGGTATTTATGAGCTGGTTTGCTACCATCAGTGTTTACCACGACACGGCTGTGTGTCAGAGGCCGCTCCGAAGGAGACGCTCAGCATCAGCCCTCATTTGTAGAGGGCGCTCTTCCTCTCACTGGAACCGTTTAGGTTTCGAGTTACATCTTTCAAGAAGACAAAAAAAAAACTCGTACTTGAATCTTCAGAGGGTGAAAATGTGTCTTGTATGTGTCTTGAATCACTGCCTTATCAGCACATGTTGCATATTCAGGCACAATGAGATATTCTCATGAAAATCTTTCCTTTTATTTGAGAAAAACTTTTTACCGTTAAGATATTTGAGTTTCCGTTAGATTTAATATATTTTCGCCTGAATTTTCTTTTATAGCAAAGTCAAGTCAAACTTGAAGTCATTTCATCTTTAGCATGGTCTCATTCCCCCGACACGGGGAAAAATGCTTTATTTATTTGAAAAGAAAACTGCCAAGGGATTATCATTTTTCTTATGAAAACATATTTGTGTAATTTATTAACAACTCTTATTTAACTTTGATCTTTACGTCCAGAGGAGAACTCTGATGATGAGATAATCAAAGTGGTGTCTTTCTTTGTTGGTTTTCAAGAAAAAAGCAGCACAGTCACCAAACTAGCTTTTCAGAGCTGTGACTCCCAGCATTTGCTTCCCAAGCCCAGATATTTATTGAAAGCTTTCAATGGTCAGTAGTCTTCACCCATTCCACGCTGTGAAGGTTTCATAAAGCAAACTTATTGCTTTTTTTTTGTATATTTTTTTTGTAGTAGGGCTTTGAAATTGCACTGAATGAACTGAACTGAATGAAGCACATTTCACCTCCCACTGGTCTTGTAATGTAAATGTTGTAAATACTTTTTTGAGGTCTGGTGATGATGAGCAATAAATCAGCAAAGAAAAGAAACGATATATTGTAAATCTGTAATTTTAAGACTGTGAATAAAGTTGGTCTAAGCAGAGGAAATGAGTGGTTTGGAAATATTGTTGCCTGGATGTGTCTGTTAAACAAAGAAATTAAAACACAATCTGTGTTTTAAAATGGGCCAAAAGCCAAATAACATAAGCGTAAAAGGGCTTTTTTTTTACCAGCAGGCTGGATGTCCATCGGTACTAATTACCTCCAGCCGTGGCCAAAGTGTCTTGAACGGATTTCAAGTGAAGGACAGGAGGACAGTAGTCTGTTGCGATGGAAACAAAGTGGTATCTCTTTATTTTGTGTGTTTGGGTTCTGTCTCTGGGCCACTTTAGCTTCGCGAAGGAATTGCGGTTTAATAGTTTAAAGAAGCTTTTCAAAGCAGGAGCTCCAAAAGCCACACCAGCCGTTGCCTCGACGGTAGAAGACCATGAAGAGGACCGGGACCCTTTGCGCAGGGCCTCGCGCTCTCCGGGGCGGGACACCGCTCCGCGCGCGCGGCCGGAGCCGGCCGAGGAGAGACCCGAGCCGGACGTGTCCCTGAGCTGCTCCGCGTCGGGCTTCGTGGTGCGGGTGAGGAGGGGGTTCTACGGCCTGGGCGCGGACGCGCACGAGCTGAGGCTGGGGGGGGGCTGCAGGAGCAACGGGGACCTGCGGCCGCAGGGGGACCTGCTCTTCACCTACCCGCTGACCGCCTGCGACCCCGTGCGGGAGGTAAGACGCACTCAGCTGGTCCTATCCGGGAGCTACTGTCATATACTTTACTGTCCACTTTTTTTCTGTCGCACAGTCAATCGACGGTTTCTTGGTCTACAAATACCTCCTCCATTATGAGCCTTCGCGGAAAGGCTTCCCGAGCAGAGCGCACCCATTCGACGTCGCCATCGAGTGCCACTATCTCAGGTTAGGCTTGTTTCCCTCCCGATTGGATGTAGGTTGTGTTTTTTGTATCCTGGCTCGGAAGTCGATCTTCTAAATGTTTCATTCTACAGAGATTACGCCGTGACCCAGCTGGCCGTGCAGCCCACATGGCAAACCGTCGTCGTGCGTAAAGCTCTGAAAGGACGTCCGATGGAATTCGACATCAAATTAATGGATGGTATGCTGCTTGATGTTCTGTTGGAACTTGAAAAGTTCAGTTGAAATTGTCTAGAAGACGTTCAGCCTATTATCCAAGAGGCTTCATCAGTTCTGAACCTGGATGACCAGTGAACAACACAAAAAAAAACGTTTTATTAAGGTGTGACATCTCTGACTGTCTCTTATAGAGTCTTGGAGGACACCGGCCAGGATTCATGAGTATTTCCTTGGCCAAACGGTCAACGTCCAGGTCTCTGCTCCTCGCCTCCGCCCTGGTGAAAAACTGTACATCAGCAGCTGCCACGCCACGCCGTTAAATGGCTCCAGCCCATCACTCAAATACCAAATCATAGGCAACTTTGGGTATGTATCATGTATGGTGAGCAGGGAGTCGTGTAAAAGCTTGTTGGAGTTGTCCACGGTGTGGGTGTTGCCGTGTGTCCACAGGTGCCTGGTGGACAGCAGGCTGGAGGCCGGCTCCTCCGAGTTCGTCTCCCGGACGGACAATAGCCTGAGGTTTTCTCTGAAGGCCTTCCAGTTCACCTCAGACCCCAACACCGAGGTGAGACCTGAGGGCTGGCGGTGTAGAATTACACAGCCAACTATAAGGCTTAGTCATGTTTGTTTGTTCGTGTTTTTGTTTGTTTGTTTTGGGGGGATTAGGTAAGCATCCAATGCAAATTTCTAGTCACAACAGAAGACCCAGGACCTGTACACAAGTCCTGCACTTACAGCGGCCACAGATAAGTTACAATCCTTTTTTCAAACTCAAGAATGGCATTTCTTTGTCATGCTCCATGTGTTTAAACTCTGTTCCTCAACAGATGGAGGGAACTCGATGGCCATGACTCCATATGTGACTGTTGTGAGTCAAAGTGTGTGACTTCTAAACCCCGCAGGGCCTTGATGGAAGGTCTGTTGGTCTATTTCTCCACTCTGATTAATTTTATATTTCATCCAGTTGTTATTTTTTATGGCCTATAAACTTCAAATCTCAGTTAAACTTAAAATTCTTAAATGTGACTCCTTTTCAAAAGGCTCTGCCAGGAGTGCGGCCTTACTGGTCTCAGACCGACCGCACACAGCAGAGGACGGCTTTCCACTCCGTTCAGAGAAGATCAGTCGTGGTTTTAACTCTGGTCTGAAGAGTCAGGAGCTGATCGGGGAAAGTACGGCTGAGGAAAATAACGACAGCAGCACAGACGAGGAACGGCAGCTTGAGGAAATTGAAATTATCTTTGGAAAGATGGCAGAACCCGATCTACAGGAGCTAGATATTAAGAAGTTATTTCAAGATGAATTTGGATCTGGGGATGAAGATGATGATTTATTTGACATCTCTGAGGAGCAGATGATCCGTGTTAACCAGAAAGAAGCTGGGGAATCAGACGTTGGCCTGCAGAGAGAGCTGGAGCCCCCGGAGTGTGAGGAAGAAAACGGGACGTACGCGTGTAGAGCTGAAGAGGATGGAAACGTGGCTTCTGAGGTGAAGCTGGAGAGGGGCGGCAGGCAGGTTGATTTAGACGATGAAGAAAGGACGTGGTATTTCACATGGAAGTAGTTAAATTAATTAATTTACTTTCATACTAATTTTGTTGACTCATTTAAAAATCAAATAAACGTTTAAATGCAGTTATCTGATTATCTTGTCGTTAATTAATACGCAAATTTTCTCAGAAATAAGACATCAGAGTTGATGAGGATGGATTGTAATGACTGGACATTTAAGCTGAGAGTGACTGGTTTTCTAATATGCCATCATTGGCACATTGAGCATCATCAAATTGTACACCTGTCTGCAGAAACTCAACAGTGAAGCAAAATGGAAGAAAATGTATTTAAAAAGGTGGAATCTCAGCATTGTTCTGATCTCTACAGTTCCTACATCTGCTGGTCAGCTGTAATGTGATTATTACATGTGAATAAAGGCTGTATCATCAAATCATCAAATGGGGGCAAACAATATGCAAATGAATGAAAATAAGAACAAGACACTTCTTTTCAAATGATAATTTGATCTGTCCATAAATCTTTTAATTTTCTTTATAAATGATTATGTCCTCCGTTACAGTCACGAAAGCCATTTTGAAAGATAAAAGAAAAAAAAGACTTGTAACTGAGGAACAGGCATCGCCTAAACCATCGGTAACCAAAAGCAGCAGAGGATGTTCTCTGTAACTAATTCCAGCTATTCTGCATAATGTGCTCATTTGTGTCTGTGATGAAGAAATAAAAAAGTGGCAAGTGGGATATTTTAAGTGATAAATTTGGATTCGATACCATATCTATACAAAAATTAGACTTGTGAAGATTTAACATGTTGGAAAAGCGGGCGTCCACCTTCTGACCATGAAAATAACTTAAGATAATTCATATTTTTTTAAACAAATAATCGGTGTGGAGACCCTATATGGAAAACATACAGAACTCCTTAGAACAGATCCATCATTGCTGGATATATTAAATATACAAAACAAAGCTATATTTACAGATCAGCACCCAAAAGTCCCATTGGTACGAGTATATACTAGAGCTTTGATTCAGCAGGACAAACAGAGTGGTACAATAAGTGTTTGACACTAGAGGGAGGCATACTGCCAACAGCAAAGCTCCCTCAGGCAAAGAAAATATACAATATTTACTCTGTTCAACGTAAAATTAGTACTTTGGGATTTTAAGACCTTTACCACTAACATAAAGTTCAAACAGTTCCAGAATGTATAGTTTCTGAAATGAGCATTTCATTCGTCCAGATGCGGTTTTGGCCCCCCTCAGATGGAGCGGTTAGCGGCCGGTTCTGTCCTTCTGGGATCATGTTGGTGACGTTCCTCCCTCCACGTTACCGGCTGGGCTTTTTGTCTCCTCTGTGGCACCTGGAGTATTCAAATGTTGACAAACATTAATTTAGTGGTGTGCTATCAGATTTTACCTTCAGCCGTGTGGCATTGACTGAACCTCTGGACTTATACGTCTAATCTTTTGCATGGAAAGGTGCAAGGTTTCAAAGCGTTCATTCTCCCTGAGGGTGGAATCATTTGCTTATATTTCTCTTACCGTTGCTGCTCTCTGGCTCGGCCTCCTGTCCTTCAGTTTGAATCACGCCTTCGCTGGTCTCAGCTCCTTTGCACTTGGTTTTGGGCTTCTTTGCCACCGCTGGTGGAACCTTGACTCCTTTCCTGGCTGATTCTGCATCGGTGCTCAGCTTTGTTTCAGGGGAAATGTCATTGGTTTTCTGTTTGGATTCCTGGTTCTCCATCATTTTTACGTTCCCTGTCCCCACCGTCTTGTTGCTCTTGGAGAAAACAAAGCTGGCGGTGGTGGTTGGAGACTTGTGGGAGCCCGGGGGGGACACCGGAGAGGGCGGGCTCAGGTGAGAGGCAGGGC